GATAAGATTAGAAATCAGATCTGTGGATTCTGTCAAAGTGTTCATCAAGACTTGATTAAATAATGAATTTTCACAAAGATAAACTCAAAATGGATTAAAGACCTAAATATAAGACCAGAAACTATAAAACTCTTAGAGGAAAACATAGGCAGAACACTCAATGACATAAATCAAAGCAAGATCCTCTATGACCCATCTCCTAGAGTAATGGAAATAAAAACAAAAGAAAACAAGTGGGACCTGATTAAACTTAGAAGCTTTTGCACAGCAAAGGAAACTATAAGCAAGGTGAAAAGACAACCCTCAGAATGGGAGAAAATAATAGCAAATGAAACAGCTGATAAAGGATTAATTTCCAAAATGTACAAGCAGCTCGTACAACCCAATCAAAAAGTGGGGAAAAGACCTAAACAGACATTTCTCCAAAGAAGACATACAGATGTCTAACAAACACATGAAAAGATGCCCAACATTGCTCATTATTAGAGAAATGCAAATCAAAACTACAGTGAGATATCACCTCATACCAGTCAGAATGGCCCTCATCAAAAAGTCTACAAACAGTAAATGCTGGAGAGGGTGTGAAGAAAAGGGAATGCTCTTGAACTGTTGGTGGGAATGTAAATTGATACAGCCTCTATGGAAGACAGTATAGAGATTCCTTATAAAACTAGGAATAAAACCACCATATGACCCAGCAGTCCCACTCCTAGGCATATACCCTGAGGAAACCAAAATTGAAAGAGACATATGTATCCCATTGTTCATTGCAGCACTATTTACAGTAGCTAGAACATGGAAGCAGCCTAGATGTCCATTGACAGAAGAATGGGTAAAGAAGCTGTGGTACATACACGCAATGGAATATGAGTCAGCCATAAAAAGGAGTGCCTTTGAGTCAGTTATAATGAAGTGGATGAACCTAGAGCCTATTATACAGAGTGAAGTAAGTCAGAAAGAGAAAGATAAATACCATATCCTAATGCATGTATACGGAATCTAGAAAAATGGTACTGAAGAATTTATTTATAGGGCAACAATGGAGAAACAGATGTAGAGAATAGACATATGGACATGGGGAGAGGGGAGGAGAGGGTGAGATGTATGAAAAGAGTAATATGGAAACTTACATTACCACATGTAAAATAGATAGTCAATGGGAATTCGGCTGAAAAAAAAAAAAACGAATTTTGATGTTTGAATAGTGAAGCTTGGTAATAATGCTGTGTTGAGCTTTCTTGCGTTATAACATCTGGATTTGTGAGTCTTCTCCAAATCCTGCCCATAGGATATTTGTTTCTTGTGATCACTGGTTACTAGATGTGTATGTTGTCTGTGTGGAGTTTATGAGTTGCAGACAAAATTTAGGTTACTTAAAATATTCCTCCTTTTCTGCGTGGTTTTTGAGATGGTTCTAAAATACTATACCTTTTTCCTCTTCTCACCTGTCAACCTTCCCTGAATAGATTAGTACTCATAGCTTTAGAATGGCAGTGGTAAGTTGCTCTGGAACACAGAAAAATGTTTGATAAGTAAATTTCTATTTCCTGTACTTACAAGCTTTTCAGACATGCTGTTTCATTCTTTGGGGTGTCTCACTGTGCGAATGTTTTCTAGATTGATTAATTCAAGGCTTTTGTTGCTATTATTGATATGCGATAGGAGCACTGGACTGAAACTGTTGTATGGCCCTGCTCTGACCTGGTGCACCTGATTTTATACTGAACGAATTACTTGGAACTTGAACTGAGTTGCAGTGTTGGGTATTTGGTAATCAGTGAATGGATTAAACCATTGATGAAGTAGCAGAACTGAGAATCTCTAACATTGGTCTGTGGAATGTGAGTGTGAGCTATCCAGAGTGGTTTACTGTCTAAGGGCGTGGGACTGTTTAAGTTGTGAAACTGGTGCTGGTTGGGACCCAGGGCTTCCCATTCCTTGTCTAGTCCTCTTTCTGTTACGCTCTGTTGGTGTGAAGAAGAATTGATGTCTGAGCGGGAGTAGTAATTCAGAAACCCAGATTCTCTTCTTGGCCTGCCTTTTATTTACTGATTACTTGTACTGCTGCTGCTGCTGCTAAGTCGCTTCAGCCATATCTGACTCTGTGCAACCTCACAGATGGCAGCCCACCAGGCTCTCCCGTCCCTGGCATTCTCCAAGCAAGAACACTGGAGTGGGTTGCCATTTCCTTCTTCAATGCATGAAAGTGAAAAGTGAAAGTGAAGTCGCTCAGTCGTGTCCGACTCTTAGCGACCCCATGGACTGCAGCCCACCAGGCTCCTCCGTCTATGGGATTTTCCAGGCAAGAGGATTGGAGTGGGTTGCCTTTGCCTTCTCTTGTACAATTATTTGCATATTTGTTGGTTTTTTGGATTCTCTCATTATAGTCATGGTTCACACATGTCTGAAATAAGATTCTCTATTTGAAATTTGTTAGTGATTTTGTAAATCAGTTGGAAAGCATCAGTTGTGAATGATTTTAGTAGTGATGTGTTAAAAGCATCAAAAGCATTTGTTGCTATGAGAGTTGACCCTGGTTGATTATGCAATATAGTGGTAAGTGGTTTCTGGAGTCCAATTTTAAAATGAAATGACTTCTAGCCAGCATGGGCTTCCAAGTACAGAGATGAACACATTTCCGCTTATGTCTGTTAAAAACAATATATATCTGTTGCATCTTGTCTTGTTTCTTAAACTGTTTACTGTCTATTTAGTATGATGAATCTATACATTTGTTTCTATTTTAGAATTTAAATTTAGGTCAGAAGCATCTTGCTCAGTACATCACAGTCTTATGTTTGTACATATGACATTTTTGAAGATAAGTTTGGGCAACTTTCAGGTGTGGGCTTTGGCTAGATCTGTGAATTCTTTACACTTGAATAAGTTAGGTGAGAAAAAGCTTCTATAGTTTCACTAAATAATTTCAACTTCTTCTGTAAAACATTTCACATAAACATTTCTGTGTGTATAATCTCATCCAAACCCATTAAGTTTTAGCAAATCATCAAGAGGTAACAGTAAAGAACCTCCTTTTTTTTGAACAAATAGGCAACTAATGTATCTAGACAGTGATCTAATGGAGAACAGAAGGTAGTAGCTCCAAGTTTCGATTTTCTGATTTGTTAAACTGTGACAATTATAATAAGAGGTAATTGGTGGACTATAACGCAATTATTTGTATAGTCATACTTTTGCTTTGGGAAAAACAGGTTAGCACTGCTTTCCTTTATCAGAAAGATATGTTGGGATATAATTAGATCAAATTTATTTGCATAGTATAAACGCAAACTTAACACAAAGTTGAGTTTATGAAAGTTTGTAGAAGAATACCTTCATTCAAGTGAATGGTTGTTAAGCTGCAGTTCAGAACCTTTTTGTGATCTTTGCCTTTTCTTTGTCCTCTGCTTTTGGCTCTCTCCTGAACTCATACATCAGTATTAATTTTAGTTACATGTTTGTGGTATGAGAGAGATGTCGATTGTAGTGATGTGGTAAAAGTAAACCAAGGAAAAATGTAAGAGTGGTTCACTGTAAAAGTCGTAATTGTAAAAGTACACAGGGAAAGTCAACATAAAAAATTGCCCCAAATTAGGGCGTAAGTGTGCAGAAATATTTGTGCTGATCTCTGCAAGCCATGTGTAAATCTGGATAGCTGTCCTAATTTCCTTCCCTCCTGTGTTCCTTCTGTCTCATCCCCCATGCCCCCTCTTACAGGTAGCTAATTTCAGTGTTTTCTTCTTTATATTCACTATGTTTATTCTTGTGATGATAGGCAGATATATGCATTAATTTTTTCTATTTATTATAACATACATATATATAATAAAAAATGTTTCCCTTTCTCACATGTATACATACCATATGAAAGGGAGTATTTTTTATTAAACTTTTTTAAAAAGTGTATGCTTGTTATTTTTCACAGTGCTCTTTTGTGTGTGTAAAGATAGTTTATTCAACGGATCTCCTGTGTTTGGACATTTAGATTGATTCCAGTATTTTGCAGTTACAGATTATCCTTTAGCAAACAACCTGTGCATATGTATTTTCACATTGTTTGAAGTACACCTTCTGTATAAATTCCTAGAAGTGGAATTGCTGGGTCAAGGGGAAATACAAATGATGGGGCAAATGCTCCATTGTGACAGAGAGAAAACCTGCTAAATAGAATTGAGGCATTACCCTACCTATGAAATAAAAAGAGCAGAATGACAACTGATAGTTTTTTACTAAGGATAGCGGGAGAAAAATCCACGCATTTTCATTAGGGAGAAGATTTGGGACCACATACTTTTTCATAGCCATATGCAACATATTTTAAAATATTATTGTCAAATATGCAATAGCTATATCCCTGTAATTTAAAAAATTTACAAATTGTCAAAGGTGCTAACAATTTACGTAAATGATTGTCTTGTAAAGTACAACCACCTTTTTGCGAGTTGTAACTTGGGTCTAAGAATGAGAATAAAGCTGCGTTTGTATGCTAAGAACATAGCTTTGAAAACATATATTTGGGGAAATTTGCACTCTTATTCATAACACTTACCAATTCAGTAGTATATGGATTCATAGTATGAGAATTGATACAACTAATGAATACTAAAAAGCCATGTTGAAGTAGGAATTACTAATTGTAATTGTTACTGTTAATTACTAAAAGTGTGCTTACTGACTCATACAAGTTAGTATTTTTATTAATTGCTTGATAAGTGTTTTACTAACTGGGGAATTTAGAGGAGGGGGAAATCATTATGGAGAGAAATTACTGTTTGTCCAACATTGAAACATGGAACATGTTGAACAAATTACTATTTGTTCCACGTTGAAATAACACAATTTTCTTGCCGTTGGGCTTTCTTTTTAGATGTATCAGTGGAAGAAATTTTCTTATCTAATTCTTTATTGCATTTGATTGACACCATAACATTTTATTTTGATTAACTTTGTGTTAAAGTAAACACGATCATTTGAAAGTTGGCTCTTGTCATTTCCTTCAGCATGTTACACCAGACAGCTATATCCCATGCCTTGCTGACCTGTGCAAAGCACTGTGGGAAGTTATGCTCAGCTATTACAGGACTATGGAATGGCATGAAAAGCATGACAATGAGGATACTACTACTGCTTCTGGTAGGAAATAATTTTGATTTTATTATAAAAACTGAATTATAAAGATGCCATATTTCTGGAGTAAGGAGAAAGAAAAGAGGTAGCTGTACTTTTAGAATTTCAGGGACCGTGACGACCTGAATGGGTTAAGTGGGTTAAATGTTCCGCAGAGAAAGCAATTCAGCTACTATAAAAACTCCATTACCTTTGGGGATTTACCAGGCTGAAGAACTTCCTATGTGATAGGTATTACCAATTTCCAGGAAAATGTGGTGATGGTCTTAGCACTAAATTATTAAGAGATCGCTTTAAAAAAAAACCCCAAAATTAAGACAGACATTAGTCTGTCCAAATTTACTATAAAATTAATGCTAATTTTTTAATATCAGCATTAATTCAACATTAAGTCTTTTTTTGCTAATTTTCAAATTGTACTAATAAAGCTAGGTTCCAAGAATTAATAATTATACTGATGCTTTTCTCCTTGAAAATAGTGGGACATTAAATTTTTAAAAAGATGTTTTAAATACTATCTTTGAAAGAGAAATACACTTTAAATGTCTATAGTATACTCATAAAGAGCAAATCTTTGAGAAATTGTATTAACTAGGCATTACTTCATAATATAATTATATATGTTAAGTGATTGTCCTTGAACAATAGCTAAGATTAAGTATTCAGAGTACTTTTAAAAGAGTGTATCAGTATTTAGTATGGGCAAAATAAATTATACAATACATATTTTTTTGTATTACATACAGTTTAGTATAGTTAGTTAATCAAGTTATTTTAGTAACCTCTAATTTCTGAAGCGTTGGTTTTTGTGATTGTGAAGGAATGCTCAAATCTTACTGTTTGATGAAATGTAGGATTTTGGTAGTATAGAAGATGTATGTTTAATATTAATCTTGACTTGTAAGCTCATAAATACAGGTAGCGAAAAATAAGAAAGAGAAATTCTATGGAAGGATTTCCCTTCTTTTAGAAATGTTGTTGGGGAGGAAGAGGTTTAAAAAAAGAAAGAGAAGGGAGAAGGTAGAAAAAAGAGGAGAGCATTGAGTCAGGATCCTAGACCAGACATTTTACCCACCACCTCTACTGCATCTGCGAGTGTGGGCTTACCTGGCTTCAAATTTTGATTGCCCTTTACCAAAGGTGAGAATGTGAAGAAGTCGCTTTTATCCTCTCCAGGCTCCATCCAGTCTGCTCCTTAAAATGGTAGGTTAAGAATAAACAGAACAAACAAAAAGTTTCATCAGGTAGTAACACATTTACCTGTAGGATCTCTATAAAGTTTAGAGACAATGTAAAAAGTGCTAACATTAGTTGTTATTAATATCATCAAAAGAAATGAATCTAGAGAGGTAATTATAATAATAATGAAATGTCTATAGGCCTTTTTTTTTTTCCTAATTTCATTTTATTTAGGGAGTTTGTGAGCTTAGGGAATTTTTTTTTTCCCACAAAGTTTAGGCTATTTTGGCAACCTTTCTTTTTTTTTAGATGTGGTAACTGTTTAGACATCTCAGCATCTTTTTCCCTTTTCTAGTCTATTATTTAAGAAAAAGAGTCGGGCGTGACTGAGCACTAAACAACAAAGGCATGTATCCAGGGCCTGGATATGAAAGGGCCTTTTGCTGATTTCCAGTGGACAGACACCCTGCTAGCCTGAGATGATTTATTTGCACCGAGGCATAATTTTTTAAATATAATGTTTTTATGTATTTTTCAGTTGCTTTTAGGGAGAGAATTATTTTTGAGGCCGGTCGTTGATCTTAACCTCTGGAAGTGGACATTGTTAGATTACTTACCTGGAATGGATAAAAATATTCTGGATCGTGAAAAATACAAATTGTATACATCATTGCCTCACTGCAGGAGCAGTGTTGCACTCCATACTCTTGTTAACATGTGTATTAATTGATAATTCAGTTAATCAGTCCTGTAATGCTCTGGCAGCAGGCAGTATATGGGTCATTAAGAACCTGATTTCTGGGATTACACTGCCCAAGTTGGAATCCCAGCTCCAGTCTCACATGACCTGAGTAGTCTTAGGTGTAAAGTATAATACTTAACATTTCAGAGTCTTGAGTTTGTCTTATCAAATGCATTTAATCCCAGTTCTTACTTTTGACATTGTTTTGATTATGTAAATATTGAGAATATTTTCTGTATTTTACATATGCTTACAGTATATTAGAGTTCAATTTTTTTTGAGAACAAAATATGAAGCAAGTTTAAAAATGTATACCATCTTTTATTTTCAGAAGGGAGTAATATAATGGGTGCTGAAGAAACAAATTTTGATCGTGGCTACATAAAAAAGAAATTAGAACATGGACTTACACGAATATGGCAGGTTTGGTTTTTTTTAACTATTTTTTTTTCCTATGGAAACAATAGAAACCTTCATGTCAAAATTGTTTCACGGATTCAGTATTTAGATTTTCTGTATTTGTTTTTCCTTGCAGATTTAGTCATATGTTATTTTCTTTGGAATAAGTCTGTTATTTGAGTTCTATAATTTATTAATAGTTGTGAATTATATTTGACTATAAGTGGTAGTAGAAAAAGTGTTTTAATTTTAAATTCTCCATTGAAAATATCTCTTGATTACATTTTACTTTTAGTATCGTAGCAGATCTGTGTGATTTCCTAAAGATGTTGTTTTCTTATTGAGATACTGTTTATTTTATGTGTTTGTGTGTTTTCCTTTTCTGTTAATTTTAGGAAAAGGATAACTGTGTAATAGATGACATACTTGGGTTGGAGTCTAGAATAGAATGAAGGATTTTTTTCTAAGTCAATGATTTTTGTGCCTTCAGTGAACCTTATGTGTTTATTGACTGAATGTGTCTTCCTAGGCTTTTCTTTTGTGTTTTAGCAGCTCAGTTGTTGTTATCAGATAATTTAATTTGTTAAAACTTTTCATTTCCTAGATAAAATGTGATTTCTTTGATAACTTTTCTGTCCGTTTTGGACTTCCTCAAAATTTAGAATACTGTAGAAATTTTGATCATATTATGTTGTTTCAAAATGTATTTTTGATTTTTCTAATGAAGGTGATATTTAGTTTGAAAATCTTTTACAGGATTTCTTTTGAAAAAATTGTTTAGCTAAATATATACTGCAAACATAAATTTCCTTAACAATCACTTAGCAGTTATAATTTAGTGTTCTTCTAACTTTTTATTACTTGCTATTGGATATGCTATTTGAACTTATACTTTACTATTTAAATATGTGATAGTTGAAAGAGCTTCATCTTTTATAATTTCTGATATGACCATATTAAGGTAATTTTTAACTTTCCACCATCTGCAGTGATTTTGGAGCCCCCCAAAATAAAGTCTGTTACTGTTTCCATTGTTTCCCCTTCTGTTTGCCATGAAGTGATGGGACTCTATGCTATGATCTTAGTTTTCTGAATGTTGAGTTCTATGCCAACTTTTTCTCTCTTCTCTTTCACTGTCATCAAGAGGCTCTTTAGTTCTTCTTCGCTTTCTGCCATAAGGGTGGCGTCATCTGTATATCTGATGTTATTGATATTTCTCCCAGCAATCTTGATTCCAGCTTCATCCAACCCGGCATTTCACATGATGTACTTTGCATATCTTAAATAAGCAGGGTGACAGTATACAACCTTGACGTACTCCTTTTCTGATTTGGAACCAGTCTGTTGTTCCGTGTCCAGTTCTCACTCTTGTTTCTTGACCTGCATATAGATTTAAGGTGATTACTTAAATCTATATGCAGATTTAAGTGATTACTGCATACAGTATAAGGTGATTATACTAGATATACACAAATAGTGGTGATTTATACCTATGTATCCAGCATAAGGATATAATTCTTATCTTGCATGTGTATGTGTATATTAATAGTGATGACTGGCCTATACTATTTTTATATCTGATTATGGGACTATTTCTGATATCACCCTTCATTGGGTATTAGCCTGGCTAGATATTTAGATATTTTTGTGTCAAGTTAATCTATTCCTGTCTCATTTTAATGTGTAGCTATACAAAAACATGGTTCTGAGAACTTACTTTCTATATTTTGGATTTACTTGAAACATTTTTTGTTTTGTTTTATAGGATGTTCAGCTAAAAGTTAAAACCTACTTGCTTGGAACTGATTTGTCTATATTCAAATATGATGATTTCATCTTTGTTTTGGATATAATCAGCAGGTACTGTTTGAGATCTTGTTTTATTCTTTATCTTGATTCATTGAACCATGATAATTAATGAAATCTTGAATCAGTGAGTTATAAGCTATAACTTCATGGAAGTGAAGATAACTGAGCATTCACAGTCTAATTTATGCAGGTTTATGTGTGAATGTGTTTAAATATTTTTGCCCTTTGGATGTTTGTAAACTGTAATGAATTTGTGATCTTTAGAATTTATTCAAGTATCCAAATTTTTATGATTTGTTATCTTTGAATAAAGATGACCTGGACTTCTTTTATTTCCTTATAATAAGCATGTTGCTGAAATTGTTATAAATCTTTCTGTCCACCTAGGTTGATGCAAGTTGGAGAAGAATTTTGTGGTAGCAAGTCTGAAGTTTTGCAAGAATCTATTAGAAAACAAAGTGTCAATTATTTTAAGAACTACCATAGGTAAGAACTCTAATAAAACATGAACAGACTTATTTAGGTAGTGAGAATAGCTTTTTCTCATGTTTATTCATCTTATAGACTTGATTGGTTTAAAATAATTACTTTTGAGTTTGAAAGACTCACTTCTTTGTAGCTCTTTTTAGGGTGGTTAGGTTTTTATTTATTTTTTACCAAAAATAGCATAAATTGTCCTCATTACTTTTTGTAAATTTCAATATGTACTTTGTCTTGAGGGGTTTGAGCTGACTTCTTTGTGGGTATAAGATGATTCTTACGTTGAGGATCCCTAGAAACATTTGACCATTAGTCTCTACCTGCATATGTGGTGTGAGTTTAGTAATGAAGTTAAATCAATAGAGGCAGCACTCAGTGAGGCGGGAGGTGCTTGAAACTATGTGCCTTTTAGGAGTAAAAAGGCTTTTAGAGAACGGGGCAAGATACTCAGAATCAAGCTACAAGGCCAAGACTATGTACTATGTTGCTCTGACAAACAATCACTACCAGTTTTAAAAAGGGTGGAGTGGAATAGCTTTGGGAATGGGGAAAGGTGGAAAGAATGTTTACACACCGTGTGATGGTGTACTGAAAGTGGCATTAAACCGGGAGAGCAAGCAGTTACTAGACCTCTCTCCATGTCAGCTGGGCCCTGCACTCTCTCTCTTACATACATTTTATCATTTGCATTGAGGTACATTTCATTTGTTATTCTGCTTTTTAAAATGTTTTAATTCTGTTGTTATTTGGTACCAGGGAGAGTTGGGATTTGAAATTCTTTTTCTCCTTGTTCGGAGTCAACCCCTGGTCACGGTGATATGTGCTGAGTCAGAAGAGAGATTACTGCATGTGAAACCATTGACTAATTTAATTTACTATTCAATTTATTTCAGTACACATTTTCTGTCTTAATAGTAAACTATTAAAATTAAATATGGGCTTCCCTGATAGCTTAGTTGGTCAAGAATCCGCCTACAGTGCAGGAGACCCCGGTTCAATTCCTGGATCTGGAAGATCCACTGGAGAACAGAAAGGCTACCCACTCCAGTATTCTGGCCTAGAGAATTCCATGGACTGTGTAGTCCCTGGGGTTGCAAAGAGTCGGACAGGACTGAGTGACTTTCAGTCACTCACTTATTAAATATTTATTTTGAAAGTATATTTAAATTGACTCTTTACCAAACTGGGCTTCTGTGGTGGCTCAGATTCTCAAAAAGAATTTGCCTGCAGTGCAGGAGACCTGGATTTGATCTCTGAGTTGGGGAGAGCTGAGTTCCTCGAGAAGGAAATAGCTACCCATTCCAATATTCTTGCCAGGAGAATTCCATGGACAGAAGAGCCTGCTGGGCTCCAGTCCATGGGGTCACATAGAGTCAGACGTGACGGAAGTGACTTAGCACGCATGCACAGGCAGACAGTGCTAAGGGGACAAGATGAAACCCTAACACTACCTTTGTTTACAATTTCCGTTTCTGTTAAAACTTAAGCTCTACTAAATGGAAGTCCCAGCCTGTACAGATTGCTTTCCAAAATGAGGGTGGCCTTGTTATCACAGATGGGAAATGGAAAAGAATCAAGAACTGTGAAGAAACAAAAAGCCTCACTTAACCGTTAGAATGAAGGCGTGCTGCTTTTCCGTTTCCCAAAGATTGCTTTATGGCCTACAATACCACTGGAGGGTCATTTGTTCATTGTGACTGCAAGATGTATGCAATGCAGAAATATGGGCTCATTTAATGGTTTCCGTTCTGCATTCCACTTTATTATCAAAAGCTGTCTGTCATCTGTTGCCACCAGGTATAATAGGCATTTCTAGATGCTAATGGAGATTCCTCACAAAAGTTCACCTTGAACTTAGAAAACCTAGATATTAATTACTGTTTTCAAAACACTCAACATTTTAATTGACTTTTCTCAGAAACACTTGCGAAACTTGATTCCCAGTGAGGAGGCTATATTGTATTGTTAGAAGGAGAGGAAGACTGGGAAATAGTAAATTGGGTTCTTATCCCATCTTTGCCTCTTGCCACTTTTCTGACATTGAACAAATTACTTAACCCTCTGGGATATGGTTCTATCTATCAATTGTAAAATGAGGTGGTTGGACTAAATGTATTACCTGCAGATCTTTCCCTTCATACTAGTCTGTATATTATAAAAGTAGGTTAAAACATAAAGATTTAAATTTTTTTTTTTTTTAGGTATTCCCTTTCCCCAGTGTTTAAACCAGTCTTGCTTATATACTGCCTGTAATCATTCTCTCTCCAGCAGCTGCCATTGGGAAATTATAATGAAAATCACTTGGCAAAGTGGGTGCCAACCATCACTGTGTTCTAAAGCAAGATAAACTCGATAGGCAGTTTAGAAATGATGCCAGTGTACAAATATTGAGTTGATGAGAGTCATTACATTAGCCAGTGATGAATCTAAATCTACTAAATTCTGATTTAATACCTCCTTCACCAAATCATACTACGTAAATACCAGAAGATACCATGAAACATGGTAAACTACAGATCATCTGTTCTGATTTTATTTAAGTGTTTAAATATGCTTACAGTTTGTTTCATGGTCTTCTGCCAAATAGAGCTCTTGAGAATGAAGAAATTCCTGAGCCGAATTATCCTGACTTTGAGTCCATTTAGGCTGTTGGTTTGAAGATGTAGACATAACAACCCAGTGCACATAGAAGCGTTTTGCTCTGTGGCAGGACATCTGTTTATAGAATGTACTGGTGTTTTTTTGTGGAAGTGTTAAAGTTTGCCTGCCATTATCTTTTTCTTGGGCCAAGTTGGATGAGCATGTGAGGAAGCACAGTCTCTGTCATCTGTCAGTGTAACTTCACATCTTTCAGGTGTGTTTTATTCCTTCAGGTTTCTTTATGTTCAGGCTCTAAGTTTGTATACACCGAGAGTTGTCAGTCTTCTGCCAGATGTTGCAGAATTCCCCAAAGCACAAATAATCTAAAACAGTAGTGACGTAGAAACTATGCAGTAGTGTACTGTTGTCAAGACACTTAACAAGTGCATTTTGTTTTTAATTACTTTAATAAATGTTTTCAGTGACCTTAAAGGCGCATTGACTGATGTCAGCAGAGAAAGATCACCTGTCCTTTTAGGGAGAAAAGTCTTTGCTTGCCTGAGTAAGAAAGGCTTGGTTTATTCCTTAAAGTGTCCTTAAAAATGTGTGCTTCTAGAGTTAGTTTTATCATTCATATACTTATCTTTGTTTTCTGTCTCAGTCAGGTGATTGAATCATGTGTTCTGGTTTGAATATTGGACCTGATATCTTCTAGAACTGACCTGCCTGCTCATGTCACACCACTCCTCCCTCCCCTGCCCATATATCTTCTGCCAAATAAACTGTTTTGGTTAAGGCTTCAGAGAGAATAGAAAATAAGTTATCAGTAATTTTAGTTCTTGTATAAGATACCTGAGAGTTGTTTTTTTTTTTTAAGGAAAAGGTTAACCAGTATAATAACTTCAATTTACATTGCAGTTATTTGTTACATGTACATTGAAGTTATTTGTTACATATACATTGAAGTATAAGTGTCCATGGGTATGTTTTCCTAGTATTGCATTGTAACAAACTATCCCGAAACTTACAGGCTTAAAACAACCACCATCTTATTGTTATTTCATGTATTCTGTGAGTCAGGATTAATTTAAGCAGGGATCAGGATTCTTCTGCTCCTCATAGCGTTGACTGGGGTGACTCAGGAGTGGTCAGCTGGTGACTCACCAGTGGTCAGCCTGGTGTAGCAGGTTCAAGATGGCCTCACTTGCACCTTGGTGGAGGTCGCTAGAAGGGTGTAGAGCTGGATTGGTTAGTCAGCGTGCCCACGTGTGGCCTCCCTGGTGTGGTATTCCCAGCATGGTTGGACTTCTTCTATGGCAGCTGACTTCCCATAGAACCAGCTTTCCAAGAGAACCACGCGGAGGGTGCTTGGCCTTTTCAGATACACGCTCAGGACTCATGCAGTCCTTCTGCCACATTCCATTGAATGCAGACTTCTCATAACACTGGTTCAGATTGAAGGGGAGGGAAAGCAGACTTTTGTTGACAGGGGAGTGGTTAGGTCATGTCGTAGAAGAGCTGTGTGTGGAATAGGAGATACTGTTGCAGCCCTCTTTGCTGTGTTCATTGGGAAAACAGGGAGAAGTGTTTTCAGAAACCAGTTTTTGGGGGGGATTTGGTGAAAATGGCATCAATAAATTTGTTTATTTTTTATCACTTGACATGTTCTACTAAAAATTCAGTTATGTAAAACATGACTATTTTCCATGTCTAAACTGTACAAGAGGGCTTAAAATTTGAACTTAAAATGAGAGCAAAAGGAACAGTGTCTTTATAATATATACCTCTTATGTCAGATTAGTTTCTCTTCTGTATATATATACGTAGACATTATATAAACACATGTGTATATATGTACATACACATATACATAAATTTTTTGTATATGTACATACACATAAATACACCATACAGTGAGTGAACAACTATCAAATTCCACTTTTCCTCCTGCCGGTAAAAAATTTGGGGCCGTGTGGTGTTATCAGTGGCCTTGGGTTCCTACCTTTACTGTGTTCATCAATAGCTTTACTCCCTATGTGATTTTAACCAATCTTTTTAATTTTCTGAGCATCGGGTTCCTTCTCTTCAAAGTGTATAAGGCTTATGTTGGATACTCTGCCATCTTTAAACTCTGTGCTTTTATCATTCACTTCTGGAGCCTAACTTCTATTGCTTTAAGTCTTTTATTAGGTTAAGTAAAAGATCTGTGTTTCACACACTTGTAATTCATTGATATTTTCCCTTTAACTTGTAGGTCAACATATTTGAGACAGTTTGTAGATCGGTTATTATCTTGTTCACCATGTTTGCACTTTAAAATCTCTTTAATTTTAATTTCGTTGCACCTGTTCTTTAGTTTGCCAAAAAAAATTCTTTGTATCCTGCTTATGTCTGGTTTCTTGAAGATGCAGGTGACACCCACAGTG